TGCAAACCATTGGATGGGTAATGTGTTTTTTTCTGAGTACATTTCTTTAGTTCTGAACAACTTAATGCTTGTAATTTTGTTAAGCACAAGCTCTAAAAACAGTTCCTGTTTTATTCAAGCAAGAGTTTTTGGCAATCTGAATACCTGGTTGTGACTGAGCCTGTTGTCTACCCTTTAACTGGTTTCCCTTTTTCCTTTAGTAATGCACTGCTGAGTAATGTGCTGTGCTGGAAAACTCCATTTCCCAGCTTCTCTTGCAGATGGGAGCCAATGCAAAAATAAGCATTATTCTCTGTATGGCATTTTTCAGGACAACCCTTCCATTTTTTTCCTGCCTGGAACTTCTACAAGATGGCTGGCACCCAGCAATTATGTTGTGACTTTATGGAAGTCATCTGCTCAGGATGGTGAAGCAAAAAGGAATAAGGAGCCAATATCCCTCATGAGTTTGTGTAACAGGTATAGCTACCTATCTCCAGGCTTGTTTTGTAGGAGTGGGAAAAAATGTATAAGCTACCTTTATTTCAGTCCCTGTTTCTAGATTACTGATGTTGTGTTTAGATATCCATTTAATTTAGCCAGGGTAGAAGAGACCTAAAATCTTAACCTTACCTTAGGTTTTTACTCTTGCTTTGGGGCAAATTTATATACTGACTAGGTTTCAAGTATTATCTCTGAATTTCAGATTCCAAAGATGATTTTTTTTCTACATCTGACTTCAAAATTCCTAAGTAGCTTTAAAGCCTGTCAATTTGGATGTCTTACAATTACTTTAAAATTTGGTCTTCTCTTAAGGTATTGGCCCTCTTTCTCAACTTCCTTATCGTGTAATAGAGTATCTCAATCAGGGATGTAGCACTTGCTTAGCATATACAAGGCCCTGGGTTCAATAGTCAGAATGTGTGGTACTTGGTGGATTGGGGGTGGGAGGCAGGGATGTTGGAATTTTTCTCAACCAGTCGGGCTTAAGACTGTAAAGAAGATTTGAGCCAGCTCCAGAATATCCAAGGGGGTTCATTCGTTTTGCAGTTCCCCAGGCCCACCTCAGGTCTACTCAATAGAATCTTCATAAAGCAGCCAAAGAAACTGCATTTTAATGAGGTTTAAAGACATGGGATATTATAAACATTAGAACTCAAGATTACTGCTTTAGAGAATTGCTTTAAAAAAAAAAAATCCAACTGCCTCTTATTCTATACAGCTAAGTCCCACCATGTGGCCTCATTTCCTTCTATTCTCGCCCTCCATGTTCCTTTAACACTCCAGACTCTCCTGCCTTGAAGCCTCTGTCTGACCATTCCCTCTGCCTGTTCCCTCACCCTTCCTCCAGGTCCCTACTAGGCTAACTACTTGCCTCACCTGCTCAATGAAGGGCAGCCTGGCCAACCCTCTGAGAACTGAAATCCACTGGCCTTACCCTCATACCTTCTCTTTATTCTTCAGTAGCACTCATTATCATTTGCTTATTTATTGTGTTGGCTTTTTCTCATGCCTTACTAGAAAGGAAAAGCACCACCAAGGACAAGGCTTCTGCCACTGTGCTCACCGATAAGTCCCAAGTACCTGTGGAACGAGTTAAGTGATAGAAATCTGATTCCTCCCTTCCCATTTTTACTGTTCCATTTCAGTACTAATCCTGACCTTTGCTATTTTAAGACTTTATTGGCAATAGAGCCTATTTAGTGAGTTTCCTTCCAGCCCATCCACGGTATTTCTTAGTTTATCTAAGATACTTCTCCTGGGATGTCACTCTCTTATAAGGATTTGGCTCCAGACTGGCTCTGTCAGTTATTATGTATTAGTGTCATACTCAAATTAGATTAATGAACTCTAAGTTCTTGTTCACATATTCAATTCTATATCCAAATGACTCATCTTGGCATTCAAAATGCTCTGTAATCTAGCAGTGCTCTACCTGTCCAAACTTACATCCTACTCCTTTCCAACTTTCCCTCTTGTTCCTAGCTAGTTTCCTTAACAACTCTGCAATAAGCCACGTTTGCTTTTTTCATGTCCTTACTCTTTACCTTCAATGCCCTCCCAAGCACTGCAAGAGATGGCAAAATCTTTTAAAGACTGTTACCTGCAGACCAGCAACTTCCAGCATAACCTGTGAGCTTATCAGAAGTATAATAGCTCCAGCCCTATCCCAGACCTTCTAAATCAGCCTTTATTTAACAAGATCCCCAGGTGATTCCTGCATGCCTTAAAGTTTGAAAAGCACTGCAGGAGAACTCATCAAATCATACCTCAATGAATTATTCACTTGCTCAGGAATAAGCATGTATCAAATTCCTGATCTTGTACAGGACCAATGCTACCCACAACAAGCACAATATTCAATTAACAACAGCCCCTCTTAGACTATTTATTCCTTATTTCATTTCAGTCCTCTCTCTCCAATTTGGTTACAAACAACTTACAAGCAAGACAGTCATGCACCTGGCCAATCTAGATTCAGGGAACAGAAACCCATTCAAGTAACTTCAAGAAGGGAGATAAAAAGAGATTTTTTTTTTTTAACTTCTTGAGAACTGGGAATAGAAAACTTAGGAAGGGCTTCAAGTCCAAGGTCTGGCCACCTTCTCTCAGCATCTGCATTTTCCTATCTCTTCCATTTTCTTTCCTATCTATTCAAGGGTTTTGTTTATTTATTTCAGCAGAATTAGCATGACCTATTACAGTCATCAGATTCTCCCCCATCAGATTATTTGCCTCTGCCCCTTTCTGCTTTGATTTTCACTATAAAAATCTCTAACCTTAATACTTCCCAAGAGAGATATAATAACAGAGAAGATCTTTGTAGCCAAACCACAAGGTTACAAGTGTGAGTCACCAATGGATTGGATGCCCTTGGGTCAGGAGCCCAGCCTGATCCAATCAGCCGAGGCCCAAAGGACTGCAGTTCAGAGCAAGGCCCTTTAGGAAGCAGGAGCTATGGAAGGAGAACATTGCTCAGGAAAGAAATATGTGGGAAGAGCAGACAACAATCCACACCGCTAGCCCACACAGTTATTACTTTGTCCTCACAGTTCTGAGCAAATCAACCAATATGGGAGGAAAGGGTCATTCACCAAGCACCACAATGTGCCTGACACTGTGCTAGATGCCCAGGGAATACAAAGATTAAGTAAGAAGCAGTCCTTGTTTTCCCAGAGCTGTTATACCAAATGTGTCACTAAACTAGCCACTTGACCTTGGGCAAGTTACTAAACCATTCTGAGCCATCATTTCCTCAACTAGAAGATATTACTCCACCTTTGCCAGCCTCTAGGAGCATTGTAAGATCCCATAAACTCTGTGAAAGTGTTTTGTAAAACACATGTGCCAATCAAAAAGAACACTGCAGGCCTTCAATGCTAATAAAATCATCACACATGCCACAGGATTTTCTGCATTTCTTTTAGATTTTTTTACTTCTTGTTCCTATTCCCCACAATATCTGATCCATCAATTGCTATTATTTGAAAACACCAACTATCACCATTATATTATATTTTCATCACCTCTACAGTTCAAAGGGTGATCAGCAAAATTAACTTCATTTAGAAGTGTAAAAATGAGTACATATTTACTGTGTACATTTAAAAAGAAATATTATCTATTCAACTGTAGAAAACTGAAACGTCCTATAAGTGACTTTTTTTTTTGCTATCACAATAAGTATGTATTAAATTCCTGTTGGACACAGGTTAGTTTTGACTCTATGTGGCTCTCTCCCCAGAGCAGTTTAATATTTTCCTAAGTCTTGAAATCAGGAAATCCTAGATATTAGAGCCCAGGAACTCTATTTTCAAATGAGGACACTACAGAGGAAAAATAAAATGTCCTGCCTTAAATCCCTGGACTCCCCCCCACCCCGTGTGTGTGTGTGTGTGTGTGTGTGTGTGTGTAAAACACACATTTCTTTTTCTCCTAAAACCACTATTATGACCAGCCTGACACTGAAGAGTGGGGGTGGGGAGGAAGGGTGAGAATCAGTAATGGTGACAAGATAGCTCAGTTCTCAAAAACACGTTATCCTCTTTGCAGGGTTCAACTATAGGTTTATGGCAATGAAAAACAAAACTTGGGATATGTAGTCTTGGCTTCGCCCTGATCAAAATCAAGGAATATTTACTGAATGCTGCTACAGGCCAGATAGGATGCTGAGGGCTCCTCAGCTGGGATGACGAGTGCTTCGCCCACCAAACCTCCCTTGCCTCTACCCTCGGCATCTGTTGCTCAGTACCGACAAGTGGACCAGCGCAGCCATTCAACAGCTGGCCCTGGGTGGAGCAAAGAAAACATCTTCTACAAATCAGCTCAACTGGCCAAAGTGCAGGTTTCAGGCATAAGGAAAAACAAAAACGAAACCTCATCCGAGAGACTCAGCCAGGTGAGACTTCACTGCAGAAGACAGAATGAAAGACTGTAATGCATGACACCTACTAAGCACCTAACTCCAATAAGAATCCTCGCGCCCAGAGAGGCAAGGGACTATGGATCAAAAGGTCTTACACGTTGTGAAGGGCAAATCCGCTTCCCCTGGAGCTGCGATGTGGGTGCTGTTAAGAGGTGGGCGCTGGAGACGAGGGCGGCGGGTTGGCGATCTGTTCTTTAGGGTGGGGAAGCTAAGAACCTGGAGGTTCGCTCGCTAGTGGCCAGTTGGGCAAGCAAGTGCGCTTGGTGACTTGGACCTAATGGTCACGCTGCGGTGTAAAGCAAGCCTTGGGGCTCGCTCCCGGTATCAATTCCGAGGGTCTGGACCCTGGAAAGGATTTGTGAGAGCACTGAAGGCAGGGCAGGGAGAAGGGTCCGCTAGGGACCGGGCGCGACAGTCTGGCGACTGTCAAGGGGAAGAGGTGGGACAAGGTATTTCTGGCCGGATAAACATACACACACACACACACACACACACACACACACACGCGCGTGCACGCTCGCTCACTCACAGCCCTGCCCCAGGTTGGTTCCGCGCCTCCTCCGCGCACAGTCCCCCTGTTGAGGTGGTCACTCACCCTCGGCGCGAGAGCGAATCTCCGACACTGTTCTCCGCATTGTGGGCATCGCGGCGATGGCTGCAGGTGAGACTTCAGCCCAGACTCTGCACCTGTCACGGCGCCGCGCGGCCGGGAGAACTGGATGCGCCGCGCCGGGTGCTCAGCTGCCGCCCGGGCTCGCCGCCCACCCAGGGCAGCGTCGCCACCCGGAGCGGCCCCGGAACGCCAGCAGTAGCAGGAAGAGGCGACGGTGGCGACGGTGGCAGCGTCCGCAAAGCTGGGCGAGCTCTCCCTGCAGCCGCGGAGGGGGCGGCTCGGCGAGGGGCGGAGCCCGGTCGCCGGCGCCGGGGGAGGGATCTGCCGGACGCGCGCTTACTCGCTCCCGCCGCAGCACTGCTAGGAGGCGGGAAGGGGCGGGGAGAGACCAAGGAGAGACTCCTCCGCCCCGCCCCGCCCCGCCCCGGACTGTACCACGCCTCGTGGGGGGGAACAGTTGCAGTCTCCTAAGCCCGGGAGCCCTCGATCCTTCCCGCGGTGTCCGTTCTCCGTGTCCCCCATCAAGGCCATCCATGCCATTGCGACACTCCCAAATCTTGGCCAGATGGGAAGAGGTGTCTTGGAGGTAGCATGCTTATGTATGCCCTCCCGGCACCCTATGGCTTTTAATTGCAAAGGAGCCGCCCATCCTCTGGAAAGGGGTGTTGATGGGTTTTGAGTGTGCAGACTGGAGAAGGGGTCTGCGATGACCAGGTTTTGGTCCCTGCTCCAGCTGGAAAGGGACTGCGTGTTTACCGTCTGGTTGGAATCCTACCCTCTGCACCGTCATTTGAACTCATTCTGAGCCCCACTTGCTCTCTAGCAACAGGCAGTGAGACCTGAAGTCTCTAGAGCTGATCCGCTTCCTGCCCCTGGAGTCTGGGTGCCTCTGGGCCCATCTGCATGTGGGCCTGGTACTTCCCACCAGTTTATGCTCTGCAGCTTCATAAAGCTCTGAAATTGCAATTAAAGTTAACTAAATCATTGCGCAGGTGGTTCATTTGTGTTGTTCAGGTTTTTGCTTTTAGTTAAACCTGCAGAAATTTGGACGCAGTAGTTTTATCCAAAAAGGTGAGTAGGATCTTGGTATAAAATACATAAATTAAATTGTGTGCCCCATATCTTTGAGACTATTACAACCTCATTACCTTTTATTTCATATAATAAGATTTATGCCACTAACTCGTCAATAAATACAGTATTTTTTTATTTGTTCCTGATTTCACCTTCAAGTTTGGATTAAGATTCTGTATAGATTCTGGTGAGCTGCTGAACTGGTGAGAACGGAATAAACTAAGTTAGAAGCATTTTACTTCTTCTTTCATCTTGTTTTTTTTTCTCCGGGTATCCACTGGAAGAGGACTTCATGTGGGAGCCTTTTATTTAAACTCCATTTAGATACTAAAGTGAGAGATCTGCAGCGTTCAAGCTGAGAGAAGTGATCATAACCCAAGCTTCAAAAAATAAATAAATAAGTAAAAGAAAAGAAATGATAGCATCTTACCTCCATTTGTATTTCCTCTGCTTCCTGCAGGTAGCATTTGCTAACCACCGGAGTACAGCTCTACAGGAATACCCAGGCAGGTGGTCAATGCATATTTATGAGGAACCCACTCTATTTGGCTCTCATTCAGGGGCTGGGATCAGAACAAAGAAAATGTGTTCCCAGTGTTCACAGAATATCTCAGGGCAGAGCAGGACTCAAAGATAAATGTGTCCGTTTCAGTGATGGTCACGATTTAAAAGTATGGTCTTCTAAAAGTAAAAAATGAACATAGTCTTATCAAGACTGTCATCACTGGCCATTTTTATTTCTCCTGAGTCCCAGGATCTCATGACATAAAACAGGCTTCCTCTGGCTCAATGAATATGAATCTGAAGCAAATTAAGTTTGTTCAGCAAGGAAATATTTTTTTAAAGTATTAGCTCTAGAAGTTAGCTAACATAAACTGGAGAAAATATAGTACATTTCTGATTAACATTTGAAGTGTAATTTTCTATAAAGCCAGAACCGGTTTTTTTTCCCCAAAATTAGTATATAGCAGCATGACACTATGTGATTTATGAGCAGTTACTTTTTAATTCCTAATGATCCCTCAAATAAGTTCAATTTTGCTTTCTTATGAATAATAGTTATCAGAAAGGAGTTTCAGAGGTTACATTTGTTTTCTATAGAGCATTCTCTTTGATATGTATGTCCCATTAACAATTCATCAGCAAGGTTGACAATATAGGTCATGCATACAGGAAATGAAAATGGTTTTTCATACCTAGAAGAGCATTGCATGTACAGTTTATAGCTTACCATGTGTCTTTTCCCAGGTTATACTTCCACTTTATCCATAATTGCAAGTGTATTCTAACTCCCTCATTTCTGAAAAACCACTCCTTCCTGTTTGCTAAAAACCACACACGTTTTTATTGGCTCATAAACTTGATTGCAACTGAGTATTGCACTAATCTGCATCTGCTTCATTCCAAAGATCTCAGATCTTCTCACCTTCCATTGTGCGAGAAGTACAGTGTGTGCCAACCCCTGGCAGGGAACTCTGTTTCCAGCAATATGACTTTGTCACAGAATCTGTAGTAGAATTCAGATGTCAGCAAGATAATTTAAAAACTTTCAGTCTTATAACCACTGCTGATGAACTTGGAAAGATGAAGGTTATTTAAGGACAGCTTCTCTAGGGACCACTCTTGATCATCATGTGCAAAATATATACTGAATACTGAGTATACAGCACACCTGAGGTGCTGAGTCAGAGTGCTAGTAGATTACCAAGGTACTAATGAAAACTGACCAGTAGTGCAACACAATGACTGGCACCTAATGTCAAATAGACAAGCAGCAACAAGTGCAGACATTGAAAGAAGAAGAGATTCTAAGATCTGCGGCTAAGATCTGCAGTGAACAGCATTGTTGAGCCAGATCTTGAAATAGGGTTCTGTCTATAGAGATGAGTGAGAGACCTCTTTTAGGATAGGAGTGCTTGGCGTTTAATGGTTACTCAATAATAATTGTTTGATGAATATCTGAAGTAATTGGAATAATAGAAGTAATTGGAATAATATATTTGGGGAAACAAATAGACTGATTACAAAAACGCTTCTCATTGGGAATCCATGGATGGAGATTAAAGGTGCCAGATTTTAGAAAGTCTTAAACATTATATAAATATCCTTTTTTTTCCCTAATGAACCTTCTAAACAAATGATATTAGGAGTCCCAATATGCCCAGTTCTGAGCATATTAATGTCATTTTCCTTTGCATTTCCCCACAAAAATTTCCTCAGTTTTACCAACTAAATTATGCTCTAAGATAATGAGTTTTACATTGCAACTTTAATCATATTCCCAACAACTATGGCAAGTGGGAATTAACAGAAAAATATGTCCTTAGCTTTCCTTTTGAATTAGGATGGGTTGTGTTATTGAGTAATAGGAGAAAATAAAGTTGTATGCAAACACACCCACTATGTTCTACTGTCATAGCAAGGTGTAGACATTAGTAAAACTCTGTTGGTCCAAGGATCCAGATTTCAACTTCAGACACAGAGAAGTGATTGTCAGGTACCCAGAGTCAGGTGACAGTTGATGTAGTTTGAATGTGTCTCCAAAAGTTCCTGTGCTGGAAACACAATTACCAGCGTTGGGAGATGAAATTTAACAAGTGGTGATTAGGTGATGAAGGCTTTGTCCTCATGAATGGATTAATGTCATGTTATAGTGCAATAGGCTTGTTAAAAATTGGAGTTCATCTCTTTCTTGTCTTCCTATTCTCTCATGCTCTTTTTCCTTTCCACTGTCTGCCATGGGATGACACAACATTAGATGCCAATGACTTGATATCAGATCTCCCTACTTCCAGAACTGTAAGAAATAAATCTCTATTTTTTATAAACTACCAGTCATGGGTTTTTTGTAATAGCAGCAGAAAATGGACTAAAGCAGTAGTTGATATTCCAAAGGAAGAAATACAATAAAAGAACACAGGGAACATCACTACTAGGGCTAAGAAGATTAGAAATTTTGTTTCCATGTTTAGGCAATTAAATGGGAGAAAAGGCTGAGACTAGTCTTTTCAACAAATGATATTTGAACAAATGGAGATGTACCTATCAAAGAATGAAGCTGGACTATTCCTCATACCATATACCAAAATTAATTAAAATGGATCAGAGATCCAAATATAAAAGTTAAATCAACTATAAATCTCTTAGGAGGAAAATAGGAGTGATTTTGTTTGAACTTCTATAACAATTCCTTACATATGACACCAAAACACGAACATCAAAGGAAAACAGAGATACACTGGATATCTCAAAAACTAAAAGTTTTGTACTTCAAAGAACAACGCCGAGAAAGTAAAACTCTAACCCAAAGAATGATTTTTGTAAATCATATATCTGATAAGCAACTTGTACTTGGAATATATTAAGAACTATTATGGCTAAAAAATTTTTTAAAAACTAGTTTAAAAATGGGCGAAGAATCTGAATAGTCATTTCTCCAAAGATCTGCAAATGACCACTAAGCTCATGAAAAGATGCTCAATATAATTAGCTATCAGGGAACTGCAAATCAAAATCACAAGATACCATTTCATATACACTCAAATGACTATTTAAAAATACAGATAATGCTTGTTGGAGAGTATGTGGAGAAGTTGGAACACTCACATACTGTGGATAGGAATGCAAATGGTGCCACTGCTTTGGAATCCAGCAATCCCTCAAATGACTAAACTTGAAATTACCATAGTATCTAGCTGTTACACTCTTGGGTATGTACCTAAGGGAAATAAAAAGAGAGATCCTCGTAGAAATTTGTACACGAATGTTCAGAGCAACATTATTTGTAGCCAGAAGGAGGAAATAACCCAAGCTATTCACCAACTGGTTGATAGATAAATATGATGTGGTTCAGTCACATAATAGGATATCATTCTGAAGTCAAAAGGAATGAAATGCTAATGCATGCTATAACATGAATAACTTTTAAAATATTAAAAGGACCACGAATTATATAATTTCATATAAAAATGTGTTCAAAATATTCAAGTCTAGAGAGACAGAAAAATCTTATGTCCCAAAAAGTTTTGTCAAAATTAAGTGATCAGATTTTAAATTGAAACTGATTTTAACCAAAAGCTGTAAATCTATTGTCAATGAATAATTCAGTCACTTACTATGCATAATGATAAAATCAATCCTTTTGTCTCATGCCTGTGATTCATTTCTCATGCCTATATTACCATTCTCTTTTCAAA